AATGATGGGAAGGCTATTCTCTTCCCATCGTCACATCCCTGCCTTAACCCATTATTCAGAATTCTTAATCTCTTGGGAATATTGTGGAAGTCTCTCATCCCCGTGGAAGCTGGTGGAGTGACTTACTTAATCGGGGAGTTGGGGGAGAGGGTGGCTGCACAGGGTCTGACTGTCCTCAGTTTCCCTTCCTGTACGAGTGCAGATGGAGTGGGCTCTCCCCTGGATTCCTCCCCCAGCCTTCACCGTACGGCGAGCTCACCTGGCCAGGCCTGCTCCTGAGATGGAAGAAATGCCGTTGCTTGATAAGCTGCTTGTGCCCAAGTGAGTGCAATCCAAGCAGAAGTTGTAGGAAACATCACTGTGGTCCCCGTTCGAGTCACATTCCCTAAGCATTCTACTGTGGCAATTTGTCAACTGCCTGAGGAATGACAAGGGAGAATGGTATGACAAGTTGGCACCACAAGGACCACAATGATTGAGGCAGCCAATCATTTCGGGCCGGTTTCTTGGATGGCAAAGTTGTAAAGTAGGGACCTTTGGAGTAAGTATCTTCCATCTGTCCTGTGGCTGGGAAATGTGGAAAATACATCTGACAGGAGAAAAAGCAGCTGTGTAGAGAGGAGCAGAGCCAAGCCAGAGAGAGTCCCGATGGCTCCGGTCCCATGTGGGAGCCCAGCTGCATTGTACAGGCCAGGGGTTCCCTGAAATAGCACTCAGTCTTTCACAGTCTTTCATTTTTGTTAGGCTAGCTCAAGTTGCTTTTATAACTTTCCCAGAATATTGACGAATACCCCCTCTGAATTGCATTATTCTCATCCTTAAATGGTAGTTTGAATACTGTCCTATGTATCTTACTAAGGGAATAAAATGAGGTAATAGAGACAGAAAGAATCAAACTTTTAGAGTCCCTTTGATAATATCCCTGATAAGTGGTTGTCTATAGGAAACCTATCCACATGGCAGTGGCAAATGCAGCCCAGCCCCTGACTCAGAAAACCAGTGGGGAATGAGTCCACACACAGGACCCAAGCCCACGGATCAGTTTTCCCGTGGGGAACCAGGCCTGCATTGTACCTAGGCTGCTTTGAACCTTGCTTGTTGCCAAAACTCCCTCACCCTGAATTGAGGCAGCAAATGTTTACTGCATATCTTTAAAGCAACTTCCTAAAATCTGAGCTAAACCTCCCAAGTATGGAGTGTAACAAGTTCAACCACCTTTCCCCTTGCGTTTGCAAATATCCTTTCTCTTTGAGTTAATTAGTAACATTCTTTCCTTTGTTATCTGTGAAAGGTAATCACCTGCAGTGAAACTGTGCATAGTAAATGAGGACCATCCTCCATGTAGTGTACCCAGAAAAGCAATAAAAGCCTGTCTAGGTGGGGCCCGGGGCCTTTTCTCACTTACAGAGTGGCCATGCTGTGCCTTTTTCTCCACAGGACTTCTACAGTCCATGTAAATTGTTCGTCACAGCCTTAGCCACAACACATGGACCCTGCAGGCTGGAGTCCGCATCAGGCCAGAGTCTGCATCAGTTGTCCAGCCTTTTTCCCGGACAGGAAATCACTGTTTCTTAAGGCAATCTGTTTTGTTTTCAGAGTTTTCTAGTTGCTGGAAAATGGGTATATATAGAGAGAGTCAAAATTTTCTTCCTTGTAACTCCACCTCATTTATCCTCAATCTGTTCTCATGGGTCACCCAGAATCAGTGCAATCTCTCTTGTTCAGGACATTAGCTCTCACGTAAGCATTTTTTCCTCTAAGCTGAGTGTTCTTAGGTTATGTAAGGATATGTCATGATTTCTCTGCTTCAGAGTGCATAGAGTGACCACGGAAGTAAGTTTGGACATATGAGTTAAAGAAAAATTTTGATTGTTTTTGTCATTCAAAAAGAAAAACAAAAAGACTTGGTTAATAAGGCAGTCAGAGCATTCGCATTTTTATGGTGTTTCCAAATTTCCAACAGATATTTTCAGGGTTCAGGAAAAAAATTACGAATTCCCAGGAATTCTCGAAACAAAAGTTATTTTGTATTTTTACAATACTTGTATGTTTTTAAATAATGATGAGGGACCATAGTCAGTATTATTTTTTGATGATAGAGTTATACTAAATGTTTTAGAGGTTTTCTAGAAAAGTAAAGACAAATAAATACATGTTGCAAGAGCATATATTTCAATAACGTGTAAAAATGATCTTTGTTGGACACCAGAAAAAATTAAAGACAGAGAAACTTAACACTAAACACCAAATACAACTGATTAAGAAGTTGAAAGGCATTAAAACATACAAAAATTATCACTCTCAAAATAAAAAATTAAAATATGCAAAGCGTGAGTTGCCCTAGCTGATAGTCTTGACCTTTGTTCATAACAAATATTGTAGAGGTATAGACATTTCTTTCATGTGCCCTGACACTTGTTGAATTAAGAGATGCTGCATCCCGAAGCATCTTAGAAATGAGCAGCACAGTGCACATAGCTTCATTTCAGTGCTGTTTCACTTCTTTTGTGTGCTTGCCTTGGTTTTGAAAATTGATATTGCTTTTGATATTTCAGATTTTAGGTTAGTTTCTGATTTCATGTTGGAATATTCCACAACAATTTATATCTTCTTTGCCTTTTTTTTTTCTATTCAAGTATTTGCAAAGGGACTTCTGGGGCTGTCCAACTTGAAGTAGCCTCAGTCCTCCCAGGTCCTCCTGCTTAGAACCACACCCTGGGCATAGCTCAGCAAACACAGAGGAGACTCTGAAGGGTGAAATGTGGAAGGTGGACTGTGTAGGCACCTAGGAACATGTGTTCCGTGGGTTTCCTGTTGTCCAGTTTTCTAAGTTTTTTTTTTAAGTAGTCATTATTCAAAAAATAAGATAAAAAATGATCTTTGTAGTAACATGTAATAAGTTTATAATTTTTAAAATGAATTAAACACAAATTTTAAATCTGTTTTAATTTTAATACAGTAAATATGGACATATACATCCCACTCATTTTTAAGATTGTTGAGCGCTGGAGACCAAAACTTTTGAAAACCTCCATAATATATTGCATTATTTACTTACTGATTGTAAGCATGTATGGATAGGAATAGATTTGACTATAACTCTATTCATAGAATGTGTAAGGGAACATGTCTAATCATTATGTAATGTTGTACCTTAGGAATATATGATTCATTTTTCCCCTGATCACATTAATGCCATGTGGAGGGTTGTTCTAATATAAGGAGATAACTCATATTTCAACTTCACACATAAAGCCAGTTTCACATTTAATTGCTGGATTTGAAGAAAGTGGGATGTTCTGAGGCTTTACCACGGCTACTTCTTTTTCTTTTTAATATTTTACTTCTTTTTAAAATTTTTTTTAGAGAGGCTGGAAGGGAAAGAGAAAGAGAGGGAGAGAAACATCAATGTGTGTTTGCCTCTCACATGGCCCCCACTGGGGACCCAGCCTGCAACCCAGGCATATGCCCTGACTGGCAAATGAACTGAAACCCTTTGGTTCACAGCCCACACTCAATCCACTGAGCCACACCAGCCAGGGCGACTTCTTTATTTTTTTAAATAGACTATTTTTAGGGCAGTGTTAAGTTTACAGCAAAACTGAGCAAAAAGTAGGGTTCCTACATATCTCCTGGCACACACTTGCACAGCCTCCCCAGCTAGCAGTGTCCCAGAATCAAAGTGGTCCATTCGTTACAACTGATGAACCTCACTGACACATCAGGGCCACTCAGGGTCTATTCATCCCTTCCCCCCAACTCTTGACAAACAGATGTTCTTACTGTCTCCATTGTTTCACTGTTTTCAGAATGTCAGAGTATTGGAATCATATAGCGTGTAACCTTTCCAGACAGCCTCAGCTTTTTTTTAGGTACATTTGATGAATCTTAGTGAAAAAGTCAGGTCCAACTTAGTAACTCTTTTTTGCATCTTTATTTACTTTCCATTATAAGAAAGTCGTCCTGACACATTGCAGACACTTAGCTACCAGTGGGCAGCAACTCCATGGAATCACAGTGCTAGTGCACACACCGGTCTTCTCAGCTAAGTGCTCTTGGAATTAAATCCTTAAGGATGGCAACAAACAAACAAATAACACCCCCCCAAAACCCAAAACCAAGAGAAACAAAAAACCACAAAACAAAAAATAACCAGCCAAACAACAACCATCGTCCCCCACCCAGCTCCCAACAAAGCTTACCAGACAGTATCTCAGGGACAAAGATGAAACACTACAGAAGTGGCACATGTCCCCTTCACAGACCAACTCAGTCCTCCAGAGACTCTAGGAGTTATATTTATCAGGTTCGTTTAAGTCTCTGTGATGGTTCTTAAACCTTTAGAATTACTGTGATTTTAAACCAAAGTTATTGTAACTTTGATAAAACATAATACTCATTTTTGCATTAAATGATCTGGAAACGCAGGTGTACTTTGGCAGTATCCAGAAGGACCACGGAAACAAAATAGTGGATACTACTGGGGAGGAAGGGACTTAAAAAAAAAAAAAAAAGAAAGAAGCATTTTCAGTGTCTTTGGTAGTTCTAGGCTCCTCTTTCTTGGTGGGTGGCCCTAACCCAGTGAAAAGTTTGTACTGTTAGAAGGCAAGGGGTTAGGAAGGTAGTGTCCGTTCTTGCCAACTAAAGCACCTGTCTTGGATTAGTGCTGTCCGGCTGGCTCAAGACAGCAGGGTTGAGTGGTGTTCTCCGTGCGCCTTAGCGGAAGACCGGCAAGGAGCAAGGATGGGTTGGCAGCTGGACACTCGGGGTTTCTCCAGCTGAAACACCCGGCAGGGGGCTGAAGACAGACAGCCTCAGACACTTTCAGCTCAGCTTTCTGTCGCCCCCTCTGCCACCAAGGCGGTGCTGAGTCTAGGTTAAGCGCTGGCAACTGCTCGCCTTCGTGATCCGTTGTAAAGCCCTGCCAGGTTTTGGGCGCAACCACACGGAGGTGGGGCTTCATAGCGCGCCAGCACGCAGGGGTGGGGGCGGGGCTTGCCGCCTGAAGAGGCGTGGCCACGCAGGCTTGCCTCCAGGCTGAGCTGCGCAGCGGGTGCGGAGGGCGGGCCCTGGCGGAGGGTGGGGGGCTCTGGGAGCTGGTGCGGGTTGGGTGATCTGTGTGCCGTGTTGGGGGGGGGGTCCCCTAGGGCCCGGGACCCTACTCTCGGGGCGGCTCCAGGCGAGGAAGGCATTGCTGTGAGCAAAGGGCGGTTTGGCTGGGGCTCAGGAGCAAGCGTGCGTGCGTGCGCGCGTGGCGTGGAGGTTGCCCGGCTCCCTTCTCCTGCGAAAGCAGAGCAGGAGCCAGCGCCTCCTGCAGACCGAGGTCCGAGCCTAGAGTCAACCCGCTACTCTCCTCCCCATAGGGAACCACCTCGGCCCCAAGTCCAGGCCGGGAGGGCGCGCTGTGGGCACGCGCTACTCCCTTCCTGCAAGTGTTGGGTAGGTGGTGGGAGTTCCAAAAGCTTGAAACTCATAATTTTAAAACACGTGTCTGTCTCTGTCCTTTTTACTTTTAGGGTTTTGGCCAAATTGGGAGAGGGCACACAATATCCACTTACCCCTTCTCGCCGAGGAAGAGCGGGAGAAAGGGTAAGTAGGGAATGAGCAGGGATGGAGGGAGCTAGGATTGTGCAGAGACAGAGCGGGACACACAGGGTCTGGACCCCGGGAGCTGCCCCCAGGGGATCTTGGGCCCAGTTCCTCGTTTTCTTCAGAAACCTGAGGCCCACCTTCAGGGGTAACATTCTCCAAGCTCAAGAGCTTTATCAGGCTTACAGACAATGTAGAGTTGGCTTCGAGTTTGCCCTTGCCCTTGACTTCTTTGGAACATTGGTCTTATACCTCTCAACTCTAACCCCTGGGACTGTACTATTAAAGAATCCTGGTCCTCCTTGATAATTAGTGGGGAACACTCCCAAGGATCTTGATATTTTAAAAAAGGACTGCTGTAAAAATTCTTGAGGACTCCAAAGCATAAAGTTAATAGCAGTATCCCACGTGTTGAATTTCTTTTGGGATCTTCTCTCAAGCTTATAGAGGAAGGTATTTTTCTCTTGACCTGTTTTTGATACCCCTTCACCATCATTCTGTTCACTTCTGAAAAGTGGCCACACAGCCCCCTGAAGTCCCTGGAGGTTCCCTGTGATTTCCAGTGTGGTCTCTCATTGGTCCTTTTCTGGGAATTCTCCATCCCTCTCCACCGCATAGCTGCCCACTCCTCTCCCAACAGCAAAATGAAGCCCAGCCTTTCCCAGAAGGTTGGGAACATATAAATCAATGCTTTGAATTAATTAAAGTTCAGGTTAATCCCAAAGAGGAACAGGGAAGACTGCAGTATCCCTCTGGGATACTCAGGAAAACGGGAATAGCCCCTGACCTTGACACTGGCTGTCTGTGGCCTGAGCTTGCCTTTTCATTCGTTTGAATGAAGTGGCAGGTGACCACCTAATGCACTTTCTTAAAACTCAGAAAATAGCCATTTATTGATGAGGGGTTCATTCACTGATTCAATAGATTTTCATTTATCTGTTGATGTAAGCGGGGTGGGAGAATGATGTCGGAGGTGGCTGTTTTGAGTCAGGCCTGCACCAGTTTTCTGTGGATTTTCTGACTAGCTCAGTGTCCATGTCCAAGACCTTCCCTGTGCTGATCCTGTGGCATGTGGGTCTGTCCGTGTTGTGGGACAACAGTGTATTTGTCTGACTTTCTGGTACTTTCAGTAATAAACTTTCAATGCTGACTGACCATGGTGATTTGTGTCCTGTAATGAATAGTACAGTCATTTTCCCAGTGTAATAAGTATATTGTAGTAGTATCATAATTCGGTGAGGATAATTTTTTGAATTGTTTCATGCAAATGACCTAAGATTAGGAAGCTTGCAGAGTGTTGGGGTTGCCGCACTGAGGGAAATAAACACTAAAGTTCATTCAAGAGGGTTTCAGTACCTTGAACCTCATTTTTTATCACAGTGAAAAAGGTGTCTTTTTCTGGTTACAAAGGGTAAAAAAACTTTTTTAGTGGAATCTTGCAAGGATATAAAAAGTAGAAAGTCAGTCTCCTCTGAGCTTACTCTCACATGCTCACTGTCAACTGTGTTGATTTCTTCAACTTTTTGTTTCATAATTATTTATTATTATTTGGCAAAATTCTAAATTTCTGCCTTTTTCCTCCATGTTTTTTGGCTGTGTACCACCATACCTGTTTCACTCCAGATCCCCCAAGGTAGACGCTGCATACCTTTTACGTGTAGTCTGTCTGATGCGGGTTTGATTCCTGGGCCAATCTGGTCAGCTCTGCCACTGTGGGCCAGTTCAAACTTCTCTGCTCCTTCCTTGTCGCCTGTCAGAACAGAACCATGAGCATATTAAAACGAGTGTGTACAAAAAGCAGTGGCTGGCCCTGTTGGATTTCCTTCTTTGTTTCTCCATCTGGTCACCCGTCACTTCCGTACGACTTTTCCTTTGCTCGTAAAAAGCAGCCTAGTATTTAACTTCCTAAGGGTGCCAACCCTCCTGGGTTTTTGCATTTTCACAGAGATCACCTCTTATATCTAATCCTGGAGTTTCTGGGACAAGGACTGACACCTGCTGCTGAGGCTCACACTCCCCCCTTCTGATCTTCCACAGCCCTGCCTACGCACAGAGTGCCAGCTTGAAAATGGAAGGGACAGGGTTTCTATAATGCGTTGAAAAAGCTCTGAGACGGTGCCCAGAGTGAGAAAGACATACTACTGCATTTAGCTGAGAGCTTAAAGCTAGGATTTCTATTTCAGAAATGTCTGTGGCTGATAAGAATGATAATAAAAACGCTGATGCTTCATGTCTGAACTGTCACGATTTTGCCAAGGTGTGGTTTCATCATACGCCTGAGCTGAGTATTTGGTGTAACTAATGCTGCTGTAGAAGCCAAGAAGACAGGTCCGCAGACATCTGATTTCGCACGAGATGTCTGGTTTCACTTTGCTAAGGAGTACATTTTGTCAGTAGATTATGGGCATGTCAGCTGTACCCCCATGGTCTGTGGCACTTCTGTCCTGAGTTCTTGTCTGTAGGATTTAGTGTGATGTTTTATTCACATGACAGCACACTGGAAATGAGCACCTGGTCAGAAAAGCACATTTCCCACATGTGTCTTCCAGTGTCATTGTTCCTGCAAATTAGGGTGGAATAGTTTCTATTCTTGGTGATTTTTTGTGTGTGTGGGGGAGAAAAATAATTTTAAAGAACAGAGTTATTTAAGGAACCTATGTATTCCCCAAACTTATTTTCAAGTCCATTTTTTTTGTGTGTGATGTTGATTGGGATAATTATAGGAATGAAATAACAAATAGCATTTAGATTTCTAGGGTAGGTCCCCTAAAAATCTAACTTTTTAAACTCATTGTACCCCCGTGAGGTAGGAGCGGTTCTGTAGACTCTCACCCACACTGATAACAGTGTTTTGGAGAATAGCATATTCTGAGTTCCAGCCTGAAAGGGCTTGACCGCATCCTCTTCGACTTTGAGGTCATCAGGGCCATAGAAATACACTGGAGGCTGTCATTCTTGGGCTGGCTGTGTCACTGCTTAGCTGTGTGATCTCGGACACAGATCCCTCCACTGTAATGGGGCTCTGACTCCTCATCACTGTCAGACTGAGCATTTGTAAAGTAGCACAACATCCGGGACAAAGAAAGTCTTCAGAAAATAGTAGTTTCACCTTCTTCCCTCTCGGCCCTCACCACGAGAGCAGAGACTTCCCATCTCTTGCAGCCCGGGCCAACCCACTGGCCAGGATGGGGGTGCCAACGTAGGGAATTCACCATGGACTTGGGGATTTGGTTCTGGGGACTGGGAGGGGTATGGAGAGAAGGGACAGAGGGATGAGGGGTGAGCAGAAAGGGGAAGCCAGTCTTTCCTCAGTGCACGGATGCAGGTCCACGAATACTTGACTCAGAGAAGGAACCACCTTTACCTCTGGACTGTGGGTCGCTCTCGTCCGCTGCTCTGCCGGAGACTCTGTCTCTCCTGCCTGTGTCGTCCAATGACCGGCTTTTCTCCTTGTCACTTTGACACTGCCTGATTAACCATGTATTTCATTTTTTTTTAAATGGGTGGGACTTAGTAATAGAGGTCTGTACTTCATTAGGATCTGTTTTTTTTTTTCTATATTCAAAGTACAGTGGATATTCTCTTGTCCTTTCACTGGCCCATAGCTCATTCATTCCTCTTGAAAAAAATTTTTGTATTATGGTATGCTGTGTGCATTGAACTAGATATAAAGGTGAAAAGTCACTGTCCTTGGTCAAGAAGTTTACAGTATAGCAGAACAATAGACACCTGTACGAAATCGTGTGCGATTGGCCATTTGGAGATACTCTTGGAGAGGAAGGCTCACAGGAGCTCTGATCCCTGACGGAGATGCCAGGGAAGGGTTCAGCAGTGGTTGTGTCTGGGCCGAGTCTCGGACCCTGCGTAGGTGTGGGCAGGCGGGCAAGGGGCGAGGAACGTTTCCAGGTGGGGCCAACAGCCTGCGTTGTCATCTGGAATTCTGGGAGCAGCAGGTGTTCTGGGCACTGCATACAGGTCAGTAAAATGAGAGTGTGGAGGGCAAAGTCAGGAGGGGAAGGAGGTGGATCGTTGATCGGAGTCCACTTTCAATCCCACGTGTGGCAGTGACCCACTGAAGCCTTGAATGTGACACGCGAGGTCACGGACTCCGTGTGCTGGGTAGGTTGCAGGTGGAGTGGGTGGGGGCGGGGCGCCGCAGGATCGCATGCTGGGGCGGACAGTGCGTTAGTCTGCAAGGCCGGAGTTTGAGAGCTCAGACAAGGGGCGAGTGGTGGGGACACTCTGAAGTGAGAAGGGTTAGGGAGAATATGTAGGAGGAGGGGAAACTGCCTGGTCTTTGTGACCGAACGTGAAAGGAATGGGAGACGTGGACGTGAGAGTGACACTCAGGTTCCCGGCTCAGGCTCCTGGGTCGTGAGAGGGAGAGGGGAAGGGAGAGCAGGTCCGAGGGAAGCTGATGAGTTCAGGTTTGGGCCTGTTGTGGTTGACGGCTTGCCGTCGTCACTGGTGACAGGAGGCGTCCAGGGGGCAGTTGGCTGCTGGGTCCTGGTGCATCGCAGGGGACGGGGAGGCGGGAGGTGCAGGTCTCCGAGGGAGGGCGTGCATCCGGAGAGCCGGGGAGGCATGAGTGGCGAAGGATGACAGTGCTTCGGAGGGCTGCCCAGAAAGAGAAGAGAAAGGGGTTAAAGTAAGTCTTAGGGAACACCCACATTACAGCGACAAACCAGAAACGGGAGGGGGGGAGGCTGAGGGGGCGTGGCCAGAGAGTCTGGGCCAACAGACAAAGTCCAACTTTTCAGGCCAAACTTTTCAGGCCAGCGGTAGAATTTCTGGTAGAAACCAGTGAAAAGTGTAATGCTCCGGCCCTGGCTAGTGTGGCAGAGTGAAGGGAAACTAGAACACTTAGAGCAAAACTTAAGATCCATCATGCCACCTTGGCCTTGTGGCGCAGTTGGTTGGAGTGTTGCCAGTCCATCCAAAGGCTGTGGGTTCCATTCTGGGTCAGGGCACATACCTAGGTTGCAGGTGCAATCCTGGTT